TAAATAAAGAAAACTTGTTGAAAAATCAAATTTTCATATTTTGCGTTAAAAATTTTGAGAAAGAATATGAAATACAAGTTAGAACAAAAGTTTAGTGGGGACAGTAAGTAGGTAATGGGATTTCCATTAAGGTATCATAGATCATTCATTCTTAAACAACCTCCCAACTTAGAGGCCCAAAAGTTGAAAGCTGTAAATCAGCAAGTGTTAATTAACCTACCCAACCAGGCATAAATTTTTCGGACAAAGCAAAAAATGCCATACTGATGCTGTACTTGTTCAAATAAAGTCACAACTGTGATGAAGGAAATCAGGGGGAGACTTTAAAAGAACGATCCCAACACGAATTTCGCACAACCTGTATTCTCTGATCTAGCCGCACTGTTCCCTCAACCGCCAACAACGCTCGCCGAATGGGTTCGACCCAACGTAAAGTTCAACTCCTATCAGAACAGTAACAGGAGCACATTTGACTTGAAACAAGCAGATACTGCCAAACAGTTTGGGGCTGCATAGATGCATAGACCGCCAGGCTTTTAGACCGTAGGGCTTTTCATCTTTGAAGTTTGTACCTTAGTGACCAGTTTATACGTTTATGCCTCTTTTCGTAAATATTCCATGAAATTTTTATTTATTGGTGTGCTATGTCTAATCTGTGTTCCAAAGTATTGAAGATTTTTTTCCCCACTTTTTTTCATCCCTTTTCTTCAAGTTTATACCAGCTATTTTCGTCCGTGAATAATGTTAAATGTTCCTTTGTTTCCTCCGACTAGCCCAAAAATTTAGATATAGCGCAAAGAAAACCAGGCTTACATTTCTGGCCTTTAAAATAATCGGCTAAATCAGATCTGTGAGTGAGGTGGTGAACCGTGTATTTATTTTTTATTTTTATTTTATTTTTTATTTTTATTTTTTATTTATTTATTTATTTTTTATTTTTTTTATCTTTTATTATTATTATTATTATTATTATTATTTTTTTTTTGAGGATTTGGTAAGGGTCTTATCGCAAATTTTAATACTTACTAATTGTTGAATTGTTTGATTTCGTGTAATTTATCTTTCTGAATTTTTTTAGTTCTTTCTAATTTTGTTTTATAGGGATATGTTCTGTCGTCGAGCTTTGGAAAAAGCATGTTTCTTATCTAAAACAGCAGCCACGCAGTGTCTCAGAAATTCGGTTAGCTAGTAATCAATTGATGGAAACTCACTCTTGCTTAATGTATCGTGCACTAGCCTATCGAAGATTTCTTTCAGATTCGTGGTGAATGTGTGGCTGCTCATGACGTGCTTCACTCTTTACCGGGTCCCGAAGTCACAACAATAAACAATGGTTTGAAAGTAGTTTCCGAAAGTAACGGAAAACGTTCTGCTACGGTAACCCACATTTTTAAATCAATTTGGAGGATTTATTAAGTTTAATAGTGGAAGTGCAGATATTTGTAAACGTACAGCACCTTTTTAGGTGGGTGTCTGGATTAATGCAGGGGTATTCTGTGAGGACGAGGAGAACAGTGGAGCTAGCAATCTTATTCAGCGTCTTTTCGCAAGGGTTATTTTGAAAATTTTTTTACAGGAAGGCTTCAGTCTCATATTGTTTCTTTCGCTTAATCTTTTTCGATATAGGGCACCGGTAAAAAATCGACTACCCATTTGCAAGATCAGTTGAGTAAGATTGGTGCAAGACTTACATCGTATGTTGAACGTGACCGTACTGTTGTTTTCGCTGAATGCGATTCTGCTGATGTGGAGAACGGTTTGCATTTTGCCCCACTTCTTTAATTTTCTGTTAATTCCATAGAAGACATTTAGTTGCTTTAGCGGTTTTCACAGTGTCGTTTATCGTTCATTTACAGTTGTTGAAATTATTGCTGATGTTGTACGTAACAGCAAACTTGATGAAGAGACAGTTGAATTAGAACGTTCTCTGGTTCTGAAAGATATAGAAAACGCTGAAGAAAACTCAATTGATACTGTATTTGATTTGCTCCATAAAGCAGCATTTCAAGGAACCCCCTATGAGAAGTCACTACTAGGAACAACAAGTAGCATTAAGTATATTATTTCCTTCTTTGTTTCTTTTGGCTAAGAGTAATATTTTTAGAATTGTTTTAGCTTGTTCGCATCATTTTTTCAAAGTACTTTAGGGATTGGATATTTAGTTGTTTATTTCCAGGTCACTAAGTGCGAATGAATTAAAGAACTTTATTGACAAACATTATGTGCCATCACGCATTGCACTGGTCGGTGTTGGCGACATTGATCATTCCTCTCTTGTAAGCCTTTCTCAGAAGTACTTTGGCGATCTTAGAGAGGACGGTAAATCGAAGCCAAAGGCTTCCAACGAAAGAGTCCGTTTCACTGGCTCTGAGGTATTTTTTTTTTTTTTTTTTTTGTTTTGTTCTTTTATAGTTTGTGCAGTAATCTGCCTTTATCCTTCAGATTCGCTACCGAGATGACTCCATGCCTTTCATGTACGGTGCAGTTGCGGTTGAAAGTGTACCATTTGGACATCCGGACTATATACCAATGCATATCGCTCATACGGTGATACTTATTTTTACTTTTTTCTTCAAAAGTAGTATTCGCGCTTTTATTTCCCTGTTTTTTTTTTTTTTTTTTTTTTTTTAGACAATAATATAAAGACATCAAATTACAT